TGCCTTGAAGTTGCCTGTTGGCCCATGAACTCCAAGATTACACATTTTTTTAAGATAAAAATTTCCTGACTCGTGCAGTCTTATATATATTAATTGTTTTTCTTTTTAAAATAGAAAATGTTTGCTATTAATTCTATTGATTAATTATATTTTAACTTTTGTATGGTATATATTTTAACTATATTGGTTTTAAATTTTGTAGGCTGTCTTTGAGTCTCAGCACAGGAAAAAATGTGACATGTGGATAAATGCTTTTTTCAAGCAATTTTTGTTATCTAGTTATAGTGACTGTTGTCTCCAGTTAATCTGTGCCAGACGTTCAGTTTGTATAATTTGTTTACTATGGCCCAAAAAACAAAACCACTCGTACAAAGATTATGTCCCCATCTCTTCCTGCCTGTGGCGAGGATTGAAACTACAGGATCAGGACCACCAGTGGCTTGATACCCCTTAAAGTAATGATGCTCAGTTAACCCAAAGTGTTCATGCCTGCTTTGGGATAAACCTTTCTTTCCCCTGCAGTTCTGTTTCCCATGCCATGTGTGAGGGCTCTTGAGCATTCCAGAGTGGGTTTTAAGAGCATACACGAGGCTGAATCCAGGGAGCGCAGCCCAGTAAAAACTTCCAGCTTAGTTTTGGAAATGGAGCGGATCATCAAAGTAGCAGCTGTGGTAAAGAGGTGATGGGCATTTCAGTTCATTTCCCCATCCACCTTGGTTCCGCTCTTTAAAACATTCCATTCGATCTCCACAGCTGCTAATTGGTGACACCTGTGAGCAAAACATGACAAATGACTGGAGTGAGAGATGTGTGTTGATTTACATAGTGATTAACAAATTATCATGTTTTACTACTTTGTTTCTTTTAAAGGTCTCATCTCACTGTGTAGATTGCACAGATATGTAGTACAAATGCTGGGAATTCTGGATTTGATCTGGATCTGCTGTGAAAATTAATTACTAGTCTGTGAATAAAGTACAAAGGGCATTTGCTTGTTGGCATTAGAGCCAAACGTGAGCCTCAATTTTTTTTGCTGGCCTTTGTAACAAACTAATATTTATGATTGGCAAGCCCCAATCCTATCTTATGCCTGTACTCATTTTGTGTTGAGGCATTGCTTATGTCTGAAGCACAGCACAAAGTCAGGGACACAGGAGGACAGAACCACTGGGGCCTTTCCTCACTAGTTACATATGGAAGGAATGGGGGGAGTAGAACCATTCTGTAGCTCTACCTAGAGTCAAGTAATGGTAGAGACTGTGGCAGTGGCCCTTGACACCAGTCATAGGTGCCCCCTAATGTCATCAGATCCCTGTTGACATGATGAACACTCTTCTCTAGCCATTATTTACCAGCCATCTACCAGCCATGCCTCCCCTTGTGCACATGATATATATTTATTTTCTAATGTAGGGTTTTTCAAGAAGGGTTCCACAAGCTGTCACTAGAGGAGATAATGGTTAGGAGAGAAAACCCTCCTTTTAATGTAGGAGATATAATTTTTATGCAGACATCCCTGAGACTTGAAAATTATTTCAAGAGTTGCTCCAGTTGCTCCCTGTTCAGAAGATTTCACCTCACTTTCTGTCCTTGTGAAAATTGGATTTGGAAAATTTTGGCTTGTTGTGAAAACAAAGATTGGCAAGAAAGCTTCGGTGGAGACCCCTTTATACCATGATAAATATTTCAGGAGTGAATTTACTTTCTTAGAAGTAGATTTCCTCTCACTTCCTGTTTGTCTCACTCCCATCCTTAACTATGAGTCGTATGTATGTCAATGACTTGGGAACTCTTTTTATAGAAAAAATATTAAGAAGCAGAGAAAACATTTTGAAGGTAGCGTTTGCTTGCCTGTTCCTCTTGTATGTCCGGCACAGAAAGTCAGAAGGATCATGATGAAGGAAAGGAGCTCTCCTTACCTCTGCTCACAGTCATCTTCTTCTGTACTTGGCTTTCAGGAGGGAGCTCAACTGCTGATGCATCCAGTATGTAGATTTCCTAGGAAAACGAAACAGGGCCTGGCAAAGTGCTTTTTTCTACACCCAACATAGAAATTATGGTGAAAGATCAGACATTTTTTCTTCTTGCAGCTTGCTTTCTCATCTCAATGAACTGTGTTGAGACTAGTCAGGATTAACCTAGGAATTAGATTATACATGTTTGGCGTTTTTATTATCCATCTGTGTGTATGTGCTTCCGTGTGCACATGCATACACTCTACAGCCAAGTTCTTGTTATCCATCACTATTGACTCGTCTAACTGTTCTAGTTCAACAACAACTGAAGATTTTCCCAGCTCCAGTCCATGCAATGCCCTTATGAAAAATACAAAGCAAAACTAATTTGTTGTGTAAACTCCCCGGCAACACTAGTGTTTTTGTTGTGTTGCTAACAGTAGTACCTCTCTTGCAACTAGGTGTGGTATGTACCATTCTTGATACTTTAAAATGATGGGATTGGATGGGAGCTACCCATAGCTTAATGTCAAGTGAAATCTGGCAAGCTTATTTTCTTGATCTGTAGAGGTTTGGTGTATGATTCAGGGCTTGCTTTAGAATAGTGACCTTAATGTGGCCCTTTAAACTAGAAAAACTTTGCTTTGTGTTAGCCCTTTTCTGCTTTTTTTTTTTTAACGACAATGTCTTAGTGAAGTCCCCACTAAAAATAGTCGTTTCATCATTTCAGAAATATTTAAGTTATTGGAGTTCAACATGTAAAAATACCGGAACAGAGAAATTTTGATGCTTACTATTTTTGGCTCTTCATGGGACTCTTCTTCACTGCGATTGTCATACCTTTTTAGAAGATAGATATATAGTGTTGAAAGTCTCTATATGTATTTCTAGAAATCATGCAAATCTGAAGAAATATGAAATGTTGGCTTTGATATCCTTTTAACCTGAAGAAACAATTTTATTTTTTGAAACACAATCTGAGAATGTAAAATTATAATTTTAGATCCTGTTTGGTATTGGCATTGGTAAAGTAGTGATAGAGTCATTGTTTTAAGTGCTGGACTATGACTCTTGTGGTCCGGATTTTGAACCCCGATTCACCCATGGAATCGACCTTAGGTAAGTCTGAAGAGTGTTACTTAGCCAAGGTGGGTTCCATGAATGAGTGGGGATGCAAACTCTGATCTCCGAGAGTTTGTATTCTACACTTCAAGGCAAAACCCTTTCGGAACAGATATTGCCAAGAAAACCCTATGATAGGTGTACCATGGGGGTCTTCATAAGCTGAAAACAACTTGAGGATACACAGCAGCAGTAATGAGTGACGTGTGCTTGGATATAAACTAAAATAAAAAAATCATTTATTTCTCTGGTCATTTCATTCTTTGTTCCTTAACATTTTTGACAGTACACATGTTCACTAATTTATGGGAAGCAATGCTGCAGGTTTTTATGCAACTTTCTGATCACATTAGACACATTTCTTTCCTTTCATAGCTTGCCAATTTATATTGTGCAATAATATTTTCTAGAGTTGTTCTGTAGTACAATTATTTTTGTTATGAGAAAAAAATAATTTACAGTTGTTTTGTTGCCATAATGAATTAATGATAATGATAGGCCTTAAGTTTAAACCTTGAAGACCTTCAGTTTTTCTGTGAAAGATGTTTTGGTCTTATAGTCTCCCGTTTCCTATTTAAACATGAATGATAGTGATTTTCACAATATAGAGTTAAGACGTAGACTTTAGTCTATGAAAACATATGTTATCAAAGTTTCTCTCTAAGACTCAGATTGCATCTACACTGAAGAATTAATGCAGTTTGACATCATGTTAACTATTACAACTGAATGCTATAAAATCCTGGGAGGTGTAGTTTGGTGAGGCGGAGGCGGAAAAAAACCTTCTAAAACAACGGTTCTCAGGATTTCATAGCATTGAGTCATGGCAGTTAAAGTGATGTCAAATTGCATTCATTCTGCAGTATAGATGTACTCTCAGAGGTGCTACAGTATTGCTTATGGTTATGGTATAATTTTGAAGCAGTCTCACATATTGTAGACACACATAAATTTCTATTAATAGTGAATATTTTATATAGTTACCTCATGGCCAGAATATAGTTACCTCATGGCCAGAATAACCCTAGCAGCCAAGATTGGCTGTCAAAAGTCCAGCCTCCTGGAAGGAGGCAATTCCTCACCATGTGTTCCCAGTTGGGAAGGGTGAGCAGCACGTAAATTAATGTTAGGAGCTAATGGGAATTCTTACCCCTGTGCACTGTTCCACTGGAATGATAATTGGCAGGAATCAGGCAGCACTTGAAGTTCCTACAAGTATTTATTAATTTATTTATGACATTTCTATTCCATCTTTTTCACCCCGGAGGGGACTCATTTTTCCTCATCTCCAAGCATAGTCTGGATAGTCTGTCAGTCAAAATAATATCTGTGTCCTAGCCTTTTTGTTCCCATGATTTATTAGAACATTGTGTTTTCTTAACATTTTCGTTTCACATTGTATGCGCTCTGCTAGTTATCTTCAACTTTCTGTGTGTTCATGAAATTTAGTGGCAAGTCATTAGGTACCCTAAAATAGCAAGATCTCTTTCCATTTCCCAAAGCATTCTTGACTATGATGGGGCTTCTCCTCAATTCTTGAGCAACTAGAAGTCATCTGGAAGATCCTTGGGAATCTGGAACATGCCTGCTTCTGGAATATCTGAAGATCATTTGTGGGTTCATGAGTCAAATCTAGTCCAGGACCCAGTGGGATAACTCTGCTGATGGAATAGCTTCCACTAGTGGAACCAGACAGGGACACATGTCCCAGCTCCATGTCTACTCACATAAACTGCTTTGGAGAGCTAGGGTACTATTCAGAGCTGGTTGTTTAGGCAACTTAGGAGGGATTGTTCTTAAATATCACAAAAAAGAGGAGAAAATGGCTTTTAAAAATAATTCATATGCTACCTATAAAATGTCAGTTTTTAGTCTGGTTATTTTGCATAATATATGTGGTAACCATGCCTCTTTTATTTTTAGAGCACCAGAAATCATATTGGGTTTGCCGTTTTGTGAAGCCATAGACATGTGGTCACTGGGCTGTGTGATTGCAGAACTGTTCCTCGGTTGGCCACTGTATCCAGGAGCCCTTGAATATGACCAGGTAGAAGAAAGTTTTACTCATAATTTGAAATTCTTTAATTTACCTGATTAGATAGAGATTTAAATTCCTGTAATTTTACCGTATGGGGTTCAGTGTAAGAAACGTATGTGTACCACCACTGAAAGATATTGTGTATATGATTTTAATAGTGCCTTTGAGTCAGATTTAGTATTATTGTATGCCTTGTGTTTAAGGGTAATTTCACAGCAGCTACCTACACAGTTGTCTTAACTGTCTTTCAGTGACAAAAAAAAGTTTGACTTTTCCCATTTCTCTGTAATTCAATACACTGCATACAGCTGTGTTTGACATTTTTGTACTTCAACCTAGTATCTTCCATTTGATCAATGGTGACTGTTTCTTTAGCCCCAAGTCCACAGGAACTTTACAGTGCAGAATAACAGATAGTGAGTTAATTGGCCATTTATTTCTGCAGTGAGCAGGATAATGCCATGGGCATTATGGGCTGGAGGTTTCTAGCTTTTTGGCAGGGAACCCCAAAAATCCATTTTTGTTTACTATAGCACACCATTTATCGCATGAACTTTGGACCTTCAGGCATCACTTTAATTCATTTTAGCTTAAATCCTGCAATAACCATTATTAGAGGCATCCAGACAAATATTATTTGATGATGCTCTTAATGTGGAATTCAGTGAAAATCTGCAGTATTCACAAATAATGTGCACATGGATTTTTATGTGAAAGTGGGAACACCAACTTTCTGATTATGAGGTGTTTTTAACCTATAAACTATTATTTTAAATGTATTTGAAAAACATAAAGAGTGTGAGACATAATGAATGAAGGATATACTTGTTTAAAACAAAATAATGTCCTTCCTGGTAGATATCAGAGTGGTGACTGAGTTTGCAGCTTCTGTTTTGCCTAGAAGTAGGTCAGTGCACAGTTTGATAGTTGTCAGATACAGTCTCAGACCATTATTGCTAGATAACCTTCCTTATTTTATTTTTCATTTTCATTTCTGAAAAAGCTTTCTTGCAAAGAAATGTAGTAGAAAATGGCAACAGCAAAGAGACTGCTATAAAGCAAGCTCATGACAGTCAGTGGTAGCATCAAGCCATGACATGAATAATCGTATTTCCAAAATGTTATCTTTGAGAATCCCATCATGTGACAGTTCAGTGATTTGCTCATTCTCTGTAAAATCAACTTTACGACTTATGTGAATAGGATTCTCATGCAGGGAAACTTTTAGGGGGATTTTGCAACAGAAAATGCATAAAACCTGGAACTCACTTGTACTGGTGTCATGACCTACAGATTGGAAGGTACTGTTATGGGCAGTTGCAGTTGCCATAGATTCTTATTGTGGTTTTTTTTTTTTTTTGCTTTCTGCAGTTGTTGGGGATGTTGCTAGGCTCACCTTGGCTACTGCCAGTGTAATGTGTTTCCCAATACTTGATTACAGATTGAAAATTAAAAGGCAGATTGCCACCTTCACAAAGCCATACTTGACTTAATATTTGACAATGGTCAAGTACTAGGTAGGTGGTTGGTTGACCAGCAACCAACCTAAGCTGACTATATGTAGACAATTTTCATAAAGTGCAATTAGGATTTTTTAAAAAAAGTTTTAGGCAAATTACAGGATATGACTTGCAGAGTAGGTTTTTCCATACCAGTTACATTTTAGTATCTCCCATACGCTATCTGGATGTAATTTTTTGTTTATCTTGGACAGAATAGTTTTGTTAATGATCTTTAACAGTAATCAACTTGTGTCCTCCAAATTTTGTAATATCGGACAAATCATATTAACCACAAGATGTGTAAATAAATGTGTAAATGCACAATCAAAATGTCAGTTATTGTTTTTTAACCTCTCCAGATTCGTTATATTTCGCAAACACAAGGCTTGCCTGCAGAACAGTTGCTGAACATTGGAACAAAGACCACACGATTTTTCTGTAAAGAAACAGATGCACCATATTCTAGCTGGAGATTAAAAGTAAGAAGAGTAATAAGGAAGTCAAAGAGCTTCTATGTTCCATGTTGACATCTGTATGCTCTAAGGAAGAACTACATCTCAGCCAGAATTGAGAGCATAGTTTAGTATTTTCTGTATGAGATGAGCTCCACCCCCCCTCCCCAAAAAACACCAAATCTTGACAAGAAAACCCCATGATATGGTCAGCATAGGGTTGCCGTAAGTTAGAAACAACTTGTGAATGCACACAATAACAAATTTAGAAATCCACTATATGCATTGTGATACTGTGCTAGTTCATTTCACTTTCAAGAATTTTCTTGAAATTCATTTTCCTGGCTGTTCCTTGATTCTAACATGACTGCAATTTGTATGAAAGCTGGTTTAAAAAATCTAATTTGTTTGCTCTGACTAGTTTTTATATACACTTTCCTTGCATTAATAATTTTCCTGCCTCTCAACTCTTACAAGAGATAAAGATCTCTATATTCTATTGTTATACGTGGCAAAATTTGAAATAGAGGAGTTGGAGACCTGGGTCAGAGCCAAGTTGTGTCACAGGAAGTGAGCATAATTCAGAAATGCTGCCTTATCTCCTTCACCTACCATTAAGAGCTTGGGTGTCGTTTTGGATTCGCAGCTGACAATGGAAGCTCAGGTCGCTGCTGCCAGCAAACAGGCCTTTTTTCCATCTACGACAAGCGAGGCAATTGGCACCCTACCTATCTGATGAGGCTCTGGCAACAGTTATCCATGCCACGGTCACATCTAGGCTGGACTATTGCAACGCCCTGTATGTTGGCCTTCCGATGTCTATGAACCGAAAGCTCCATATTGTTCAGAATGTGGCAGCCAGGCTACTCACAAGAACACCCATGAAATGCCATATAACACCAGTGTTGCGGCATTTGCATTGGCTTCCAACTGATTGCCGTGGTCTATATAAGATGCTAGTTCTGACCTTTAACATTCTTTACGGCCAGGGTCCATCGTATCTTAGGGACCGTCTCTCATTCTCCCATCATCGGAGGTCGCAACGACCATCCCAACGTGGCTTACTTTATATACCCAGTCATAGAGAAGTGCATTTGGAAAGGACCAGACGCAGAGCTTTTTCTATTTCTGCCCTTGATTTGTGGAATTCCTTGCCGCCCTATATGAGAGCCATTCGTGAGTTAGGGCCTTTTACCCTAGCACTTAAGACAGTGATGGGCAACCTTTTGAGCTTGGTGTGTCAAAATTTGCCAAAAACCTGAGCATAACTTGGGTGGAGTGTCACATCAAGAAAAAAACCATAATTTTGGAGTATTTATAGTTTAAATAAGAAAAATGTATAATCCATGCTGAGTTATGGAGTGAACAATGCTCAAACGTGCATATGTTAAATTTGTAGAGCCTTTTACAAATTTAAGGATTGAATTAGATTGGCTCTTATAAGATGTCTTCCTCTGTATGTGGCCACATGTGTCTGCGTGTAATCAAAAATAGCCATGCGTGTCAATGCTGACACGCGTGTCATAGGTTCACCATCATGGACTTAAGACCTGGCTTTTTACTAGAGCTTTTGATCTTTGTTCATTTTATCAATATCTGTATGTATGTATTTTTATCCTTTTCAATTTTAGCTTGTAAATCCCCTAGAGCATCTTGGATGGAGGGCGATTAATAAATAATTAAATGATGATGATGATATGAAGCCAAATTTTCTGTTTTATTTATTTATTTATTTATTTCATATCAAAATCATTGCATAAGTTGGAAAGCAATGCAATGCTTTTGGGTTGGAAAGAATGGCCGTTTACAAGAAACGTTTCCCAGGGAATGCCTGACTGTATTTACTCAGTCTTCAAGGAGGCTCTTTCCGTGTCCCCCTTTTCTGCTATTCATACATATATCTGGAGTTATATGTCTGAAATAACATGCTGTCTTGCTTATTGATATACATATATTACTAATGGACCTTTTATTAGAAGTAAAAAAAACTGGTGAGAAAGCAGCACCAATTGTGCCCTTTTAAATGCATCCAATATTCATACATTTATATGCATTCTTTTGGTCATTCTTCGCAACTACCTTACAAGCTTACTTTAGTTCCCACTTGTTTTGATTAGAGCTGAAACTGAGAATTGTTATTCATGTGAATACAGGGCACAAATGTAAAATGAATCTTATTTCTCTCAAATACACCAAAACTACATTTTTAATTATTGTAGAATTTGCCATTACTTATTGCTAGCTCTCCTAATTTAGCATTTAATGGTAACTGTGTAACTAATTCAGTGTTGGGGCCATTTATATTCTCATACAGAACAAAAATGTAGCACATTTCTTTCAGAATATATTATCATCATAGTTGCAAAAGACTGCTACATTTTTACAACACCAAAGAAAAAAACACATTAGTGCTTCCTGTAGGGTCCCATTAGTGTTGTTAACAGGATTAATTTTCCAGTATGCTCACAATAATGTATAAACCTTTCCCCCACTTAAATTCCCGAAGACATTGGAAGAGCATGAAGGAGAGACAGGGATGAAATCTAAAGAGGCCCGAAAGTACATTTTCAACAGTTTGGATGAAATAGTGCATGTGAGTATATACATGTTGGGTATTTGATATAAATGTGTTTAATTGAGTGGGTTGGTGGGGGCGGGGGTTGAATTGTAGATAAGATAGAAAAGACATTTTCCTCTCAGTTCAGGGACTACAATGAACAGCCTACTGCCACTGTTACATTGAGTCCGTTGGGAGAAGGATACTTGATACTTGGCAGTGTTCATTATTTTGAGTTTTCTAATACATCATCTTTTTATTCTAATATTCTAAAAATGTAAATATTTTACATCACATTTGTAGCACAATTGTTTTTTTTCCATATTTTTGTGTTGAATCTTTGCAACGTGTATTCTAAGGGTATGTAAAATTTCAGCCTCAGTTTTCCTTACCATTTCTATTATCCTCAATATTGCACAAGTAGAGAGTTCCTAAAAGGGGCTATTGATAGAAATGTAGACTCTAATTCCAGTGTTTGCTATTTTCTTATGTTTTCCCCCCTGATTGTTGAGTTTGGTAATGTATTATTATTGCTTACTTTGTTCAAAAGGTTTTTAAATGGTTCATTTTATATTTTTGTTAAGAGCTACTATGATTATGATTTATCACAACACAATGGATTATAAATGCTCTAATAAAAATGGAAATTATCATAAAGATGAATGAAAAATGCCATATTGTTTTAATACGTTTAATTTTTCAACACCAGGTGAACATGGTGATGGATTTGGAAGAAAGTGACCAGTTGGCAGAGAAAGCAGATAGAAGAGAATTTGTCAGCTTGTTGAGGAAAATGCTGTTGATAGATGCTGACTTAAGAATCACTCCGGTTGACACACTGAACCATCCCTTTGTGACCATGAAGCATCTCCTTGATTTTCCCCATAGCAACCAGTATGTTGTGTAAAAATAATCTTTGATTGGCCATTTTTGAATGGGTTCCATGTTCTTGTGTTGCTATGTTTAGTGTGTCATATGGTTCTGGCCTAGGTTGATGAAGATTATCTCAAAGCCAGAGTTACAGAAGCTGTGGCCTCTGCCTGTACACAAGTATGTGTACACATGTGTGTTTTATCATGCTGCAGTTGACATTGCATACAATCTAAATGCAGCTTTCATTGAAAAGAGAGTTTACATAGATTAAAGAAAAGTAGTAGTCGTCATGGCTGCAGAGTCAGTATGCCAAACGTTCAACTCTGTTCCTCTATTTTCCTGTTTGAAACCAACCTTTGCAGTGCCTGAAAAAGAATATCCATACATATAAGGGACACTGCACATAGGTATATCTCCCTAACTGAATCCTGGCACATATTATCAGGGTTCATTTACTTTAGTACTCAACTGTTAACACCCTCTTCATCATCATTTCCAGATTCTAGGGGATGGGTGGATTTTTTTTATTTTTCTAGTTCTTTTACATTGGGATCTTCTAGCTGGGTTGTTGTAGGTTTTTCGGGCTGTATGGCCATGTTCTAGAAGCATTCTCTCCTGATGTTTCGCCTGCATCTGTGGCAGGCGTCCTCAGAGGTTGTGAGGTCTGTTACACACTAGGAAAATTGGGTCTGTATATCTGTGGAAAGTCCAGGGTGAGAGAAAGAACTCTTGTCTGTTGGAGCTAGGTGTGAATGTTTCAATTGATTAGCATTTGATGGCCTGACAGTTTTATATGTGTGGGCTTGTTACTGGGGGAATCTTTTGTTGATAGGTGATTTGGTGTCCTTTGAGTTTTGTTCTTTATTTACTGTTATGATTTTAGAGGGTTTTTTTAAAAAATACTGGTAAATAAAGACAGGGAGCTCCAGACAAGAAACAATCAGGGCCAGCGAATCATCTCTCAACAAAGGATGCCCCCAGGCAGTAAGAACCCACACCTTGAAAACTGCTAAGCCATTAAATTCTAATCAAGGTGGCCAACTGAAACATTCACATCTACCTCCAACAGACAAGAGTTCTTTCTCCCACCCTGGACATTCCACAGATATATAAACCCAATTTTCCTAGTTTCCAACAGACCTCACAACCTCTGAGGATGCCTGCCATAGATGCAGGCGAAACGTCAGGAGAGAACACTTCTGGAACATGGCCATACAGCCCAAAAAACTTACAGCAACTCAGTGATTCCGGCTATGAAAGCCTTTGACAACACGTTTGTATTTGTGCTTGTTGAGTTTATGTGATCAGTTAAATTGTGTTTATAATACATATGTGTAAAATATGTTTTTTTCAATTATTAATATACAGGTATGATTACTTTTTTTGCAATACTGAAATTTTCAAAAAATGTCAAGGTAGCATATCCACTCAAACAGTAGTAGGGTTGCATGTTTGAAACTTGGTTTGGTGGGAAAAGATGGCCCTCAAATTTCTTTGAGCTTCCTTTATACAGTTTTTTTTAATGCAGGAACATTCAGACATATGTTCCTTGTTGACCTGCAACCATGTAGTAGATTTACTTAACATTTTTCAGTCTTTACCCTGATTTTGCAGTCCAAATTACTTACACAAAGTACAGTAGCAGATTTCTGCTGTTAACTTAACGTTAAGCTTTGCTGCAGCATGCAATACATAATATATTGGTAATATTGGTGCAGTCCCCGAGTTACAAACATGTGAGTTACAACAAACACCTCATAGTTAAGAACGGGGGTGAGACAACAGGAAGTGAGATAAACCTACCCCTCAGAAGGGAAGTTCACTCCTGAAAGAGTTATTTTGCGGGAAAGGTGTCCCCGTTGAAGCTTTATCACCAATCCTTGTTTCCACATCGAGTCAAATTTTTCAAAATCCAAATATCACAGGGACAGAAAGTGAGGTGAAATCTTCTGAATGGGCACAGATAGCAAAACAAACGCCACAGGGGTGTTAACCCTTCTGCATGCTGTCCAAAGCTGATATATATCCAGTATATATTTGGCTGGAGTTCATAACTTGGGGGCTGGCTGTATTAATATCTATTTAACTGAGGAGCAGAATGACTTAGCAGAGTCAAAACAAAGTGTTTGCAATCCACTTGATTTCATAATACAGACTTGCAACAAGAGTGCGTGTTTCATAACTGAACTGCTGAAGTGTGAACTTGTTCTGTACATGTCAGAACTTCCTGTTCACTTAACCAATTTCAGTTATTATTTTTCCATATATTCTTTACAACCAAAAGAAGAAAAATGCACAGTAATTATAGGGGGTCAAGATACTAGAGGGTTTGCTCCTTGTTGTTTTCAAATATAATAGTTTGATAAGACATGGATATCAGGAATGACTAGGTAAATAAGGAAGTCACTAGTCTAAATTGAAGACTTCTTGAACAAGTATGAACTTGCCAATATGTGTATTTCAACCCATAATTACATAATTTTTGTTGCAAACCAGTCTCTAGAGTAAATTGCCCTGTGCCTATTCCAGTGGCTAGAACTAGAAGGTGCAGTGCAAATTGTATTTTATTCTATTGAGCTAATACGCTGTACATCCCTTTTGTTTTTATCCCATCTCACAACTCATTTTTCTTCTTCTCCATTTTATAATTAGAGTGAAATCCTGTTTTCATATCATGGACGTTTGCAAATATCGATCAAATTCGTATGATATGAATAACCGCAATAAAACCGCGCACCTGCGACCAGTTGCCTCAAGTAATGCACCAAGCCTGACAGCTAACTTTGCCAAAATGGGAGCAGTTCGAAATCACGTGGGTACTTCATAATTAAGGTCTTGTACTCCCCTTCCCTATAGATCAACACAAAGTAATGAATCAGGAAACAGCTATCTCAAGGCATAGGCGTGGGGAAAAAACATATTTGGTTTTACCTGCATGTTTTCTCATTGTAATCCTACGTGCATATTACAACATGCAAGTCATTTTGAAGGTCCATCTGAATCAAAAATTGGGTAAATATTAATTATGGTAAATGTGTTAAAAAGTAAGCAAATTAATATCATAGTTCACATTATTCATCAAATAAAGAGGACAATACAAATCATTCCATGAATGAATATGTGAAAGTTCTGTCTGGGATATGGCAAAAAATTGTCATTTGTGGAGGTGTTATTGTAGCACTCTGATATGTAATACTTTCCTTCTAAACTCTATACCTTTTTGATGCTTCTCTCCACTTTCTCATTGGCCAACATGGGTAAAGCCAGGCTTGAAGAAGGCTTAAACTGTGGTTCATCTTCGCTCTTCCCTAATGCAGATCTGAAAACTTGTTGAGTTGTGATCCTTTTCTAGAACTGCTCATGGGAACGTTTCAGAATAGTAAATCTGAACACCTTCTATATTCTCAAAATATTTTATTATAGTGCCCTCATGTGGTCAAATATTACATTTGCTACCATGTGCTAAATAAATTGATCCTCATCTACCTAGTCAAGTTTGCTGGTGCACAGTGAGGAACAGGAAATATTTGTATAACTTTACAACTAAGAATCTTGAAAAATTTTGTGGTTGAAAATCAACACAGTAAAACGAAACATTTATCAAGTTAATACAATTTAACATGCATTTTAAATTTAATCTGAAAAGTGCGGGATTTTTTTTTTGTTAATTTATGATATACCTATCGTTTCAGGCATTAGCTGCATCTACCCATTCGGTTTTGCCCCATGGAATACCACTACAGGCAGGAGCTGCTCAGTTTGGTTGCAGTGATGCTTTTCATCAAACACTGATTATATGTCCCCCTGCTATTCAAGGTTTGAGTTGATTTTTTATATTTAGCTTTATCAGAAAAACAACTTTTCGTTTATTAAAATTTATTGGCTTAGTCCTTGAGATTAATCCAACCTATAACAACTTTTCAATGAAATTGTGCTGTCCTGCTAAAAAAGGAGAGGTAATGTTTTTAACTCCCTGTAGACTACTGTGAGCTTCTTGTGCCCACTGAAAACATGTTTTGGAATCAAGTGGCCCTCTGGAAATTATAGTGATGAAAGGGTGGAAGTGGAAGGAAGAGCTGGCAAGATTTTCCACTAAATTAAAACTTTCTGTGAATGCAGAGAGTCTTTCTTGAAAAACACCCCTAAGATATACATCAATAATTACACATGTCTTTCAGTCTGTGGAAACTAGTGATGTGCATGGTATTTGTTTCTTTTGTTTCATTTTTGTTTCATCCCTTTTGTTGCAAGAAACGTAACGCCCCCTAGGATTTGAAAATCTCTAGGTCCTCAAGTCCCTTGATGGCCTATAGATTCCCAGAGAAATGTTTTGTCAGGTATAAAAAAATTACCTACTTTCGCAGGGTCCTGTGTCACTAACCTCTGTGGAAGGTTACTGTATATCCTCTCCTAATTCAATGACACTGATGTTACTCATTCTTATGATGTGTGAAATGAGTAAAGGATATATATTTTTTAATGGTGGGGAACCCTTTGTCCCTTGAGATGATGTGGGACTTCAAACTTCCACAATCTTTGAACTCTCCTGACTAGGGCTGCTAAGAGTTGGAGTTCAACAAATGGCTGAAGATAAATTTGTTTCCTTACCCATGTCTTAAATTGCAGCTTCAGCACTACACTGGTACAGGTTGAACTTCCCTTATCCAAAATTCTTGGGACCAGAAGTGTTTTGGATTTGGGAATATTTTTGGATTTGGAATACCTGCATTTGCATCATATACATAATGAGATAACCTAGAGATGAGACCTAAGTTGAAACATAAAACACAATATTCATTTGTTTCATATACATCTACACATAACCTGAAGACTATCAGTATGTACAATGAATTATCAGAAACGAAAGGTATCATTACCTCAGCCACCTATGTGGACAATTTTGGATTTAGGAGTATTTGGATTTTCTGAAAGGGAATGCTTAACCTGTAAAATATTTCATAAATGTATTGGCACTTGTATTTCTGATGCATGTAGAATTTCTTCCTAGACTGACCAGTTATTCAGTGCAACCTGCCATTTCATTAATGCATACATTTCAATTTAAAAAATCATCACCACTCTGGTATCACAGTGAGGGAAAAACTTAATGTGTAAAGATGCTGTTCAAAGTATTTTAAAATGTGTTCTTTGACCAACTAACCTCCATGCTTTTCTTTTAAGAACATTTACTGTAGTATATTTTAAGAGGTTGTACTTTAGCCTGCACTTACTCCAATGCTCACCACGTGGAGCAGAACTAGAAGATTTGTGGACTTGTCATTGTCTAGCTTTTCTTTTGTCTGTTAGCCCTTGACACATGTTGTCTGGTTCATATACCCAAATAGAATTTTTCCCCAAGTCTGCCTTTTTGACTATGGTTTACTTTTACGTCTGACAAAATTTCTGTTATGCACCTTTATTTTTATCAGTCTCCCTGAGGAGGGTGGGGTTAAACTGGTATAGACTTTGTGGAATTTTTGTTAATACCAAGTTTAAGCCGCGTCTCATTCTGATAAGACTCGCTTCAAAAGAGTTGCAACACATGTTGGTTGCTTAATCCCAGGACTGAAAAGGATCTAGTTGATGATTGAAGGGCCTATTTGATACTGTCAACACAGACTGTTTCACAGTTTTCTGGTGAAATCCTCTTTCTGGTGCTGTATGTTATGCTTTATCTCAGTTCATTGTTTAAGTGCTGGTTTTGACACTCATGTTACTGTCACCTGCCTCTGAGGGAAATAGAGAAACAAGTAGCCTCAAGACTGATGATGCAACATTTTTTGTTGCTCTGTTTGGCCTGCAGTGGGTTTGTTTCAAAGAAAACTGGCTAGTATTATCCAGGGTTTATCTCGTTCTCTCTTCACAGTCAAGGGGTGGAGTGGAAGGCTCATGAAGTATAAGGAGTGGGACAAATGTATTGACATGCTCTGGTTGCTTATGAATGGCTTAGTGATCAGTGCAGGAACAAGCTAAATGTAATGTGGGAAATAATTGATGAGGTTTTTTTTTTTTTAAAAAAAAACCTAGGTGGTTTCTATAAATACAGAGGCAGAGGTGTTCTTTTGAAGATACTTAAGCCTTCCCTCGCTTGTTTTCTCTCCAATGTAAATTACTTCCTCAAATTACTGTTTAACTATGGAGGAAGAAAAAGAAGTCAAAAATTAAATCTGAACCTGCTCTTCATATTTTTGTGCCAATAATAGCTTGTAGAGGAAATGGTTCTCATTGGGAATATGTTAAAACGCTCCTTCAGAAGAACCACATTTCTGTTCTTGAAAATACCTGCATAGGAGTACAGATTAGTAAAAAGTGGAAAGCCCAGTACAGACCTCTTATATCAACTGAATTGCTGTGAATCAACATTTCCATGTATAGAACTGGTGTCAGATTGGAAAGTCTAAAGTGGGAAAAGTATAATTCATGTGATTAAATTTTAGTTCCACATATACGATCTGAATTGTGTGATATTACCATTATTTTGTTGGATACAAGCTTACCTTTGTTTCTGTTTCTTAATTAGGAATACCTGCTAATCATGGGAAGCCCAATGGATACTCTATAAGAGTAGATAATGCAGTGCCATTAGTGACACAGGCCCCAACTCTACAGCCACTCCAGATTAGAGGAGTTCTTTCTCAGGTATGGTGTTTTGTTTGCTACTGCAGAGCTCATATTTTCAGAATGGTAAAGACTATTTTGGTTTAAAAAACATATCAGTGTTGAGGGCTGCAGTTCACTGACAAAAGATGTGGTTTCCCTACACAATTCCCCTCGATAAAAGAATCTAAGCTAACAAAATTTATGTGGCTTCTTATATAAAACCTTAGAGTGTTTTTATAATTATTGCCAGTCTATTCTGATAAGTGTTGCTCCTAACATATTAAATCACAGTTGTGGGCAAAGCAAGGATGGATACCCTGTTCCGGGTGCTGTTTTTCCCAGATGCCAATGCCTCCTGGAGTAGGAAGGCCAATCTATCAGAAGGAGCCTTGTTAACGGACAGAGAACAAGTTTGGGGAACAAATGAAGACTTCACTCAGGTCCACTTCCAGCCTATATGAACTGCTGCCTTCGCCATACTGGCAGGAAACTTGCTTTTATCATCTTTTCTTCCCATCTTCCCTCAGTATTTGCATTTTGTGTAAAAATTTGTTTTGTTAGTGGCATCATATTGTTAGCACTGCTTGTCACAAATTTTGGGCAATTTTGGCACATGAGTCAGTTTGAGAGTAGATGGGCCCACCATATTCAGTATGAGGGGTCCTTTTAAGGGGCCTTGGAAGTGTTGGCAAATGGGTTGCATTCAGCTGTGATTCATTCCTGGGCGTTAGATCAGGCATGGGCAAACTTCAGCCCTCCAGGTGTTTTGGACTTTAACTCAATTGTGGGAGTTGAAGTCCAAAACACCTGGAGAGTCAAAACTTGCCCACGCCTGCATCATAGGAACCCTAGTGACTTCTGCCCACATAAGTCTCTGCATTGGTCATTCCCAGCAGGTTTACTGGATGACTGATAAATTGTTAGATCAATGCCTAGATCTGGATTGTGCTTGTTCAACTGTAAACAATAAAGTTGCCACCTTTTCTAGTCCAACAAAATGTGACCTGTTTACTAAATGTGAAGCCTCATACTCACCATGGGTTTTGCAATGTTAGTCTGAATTGACCAAAATCTGATTTAGTATAAGAAAGCTTCATGTATAGGATATAATTTTCATGGTAATGTCTTTTTTTTAAACAACAGACCTGGTCTAATAGAGCTCAGCAGATATTGCTTCCTACATGGCAACAAATAACCCCTGTGGCTCCTGCAACAACACTGGCTTCTGATTCTGTGGCTGGCCCACAGGCACTTGGAGACTGGGGGTAAGCTGAAATGGTTGTTTAAAATTTTTTATACAGCAGATTTTGCCCAAAACCAAACCGGTTGCTCAGAATGATTAAAATGAGAATTCTCTGCCCTACTCAGGAAGATGCTGCCTCGTTGCAACCATTACAACTCCGTGATGACCCAGTCTCTCTTAACCAATCAGATTACTTTATCTGCTCCTCAACCAATCAGTGTGGGCATTGCTCATGTCGTCTGGCCTCAGCCCACACCAACCAAGAGAAATAAAGTGTGCCAGAACAGGTTAGTATTCTGTAGCATTTGTACCTGATTTAAATGAAAAATTCTTAGTGTATGAATCCTTTTTACAAAAGGACATTGTATTATAAACATGCATGCTCACCAAATTGTTGAAACACCCAAGTGTGTAGAGAACATTATTTTTCAAACATTAAATATTGTATTAGAGTAAAATTGTTTAGAAATGTATTGATTAAAGTCAAAGGAATGGAACTTGATGATCATAATGATAATAATGAAAAGTAGCATTTGCTGCTCTATAATTTGCCCCTTTTGTAATAATAGTTTGTCTGTGTCTCTGCAGAAATACAATTTGCTTTGGTTATGTTAAAATCAGTTAGCTAGTTAGTTGTTCCAAAATTGATGTGCATGAGGACTTGTCAAATTTGAAATATTGAACATAGAGACATTGTGTAATAGTGGTCATGATATGACTTAGAATAGTATTAAGAATAGTCTTTCTTTTGCTGGCAGCAAGAAACACTTTAAGTGCTCTGTGGAGAAAATGTGCCCCATCACTACAGAAGTTATTTACAAAGGTATGGGACATTTCAGTAACGGAGAAAGACCGGGAAGGGCAGTTACAGTGGTGAACTGTGTTAAGTAATCCCCTGATTCATGTCCACTGAATTCAGTGAACACAATTCCTGGTGCATTTTCAGTGGATTTTGAATCTCATTCAAAAATGTCTATGGTGTCCAAGCCAGCATTTCTTCATTTCTTCTTTCCTTTTTATAAGAGAATGGTACCTTCAGCATATTATACTACATTTCATTGGTAAATCCAACTTTGAACCTTGCATTGCAGCATCTGAACCTTGCTTGTGATATGCAATAACTACCTGGAAGGTTTTCCACGATTGCTCTGGAAAACAACATTTCAGTGTTACCTGTATGTGCATTGTTTTATGTTTCATGTGTTGATTTATATTCATTGATGTTTCCAAGTTTATGTTCTACTTTAATTTGGGGAGGGGCAACTGAATAAATGTTATGAGCTTTGCTTCATAACAAACATCTTTGTGACGCGTCTAAATAGATCTCTTCTTCACAGGAGTAATGTGTTACAAAATACCAATATCCAAAATTCAGCATTTATGTCTCCAAAGATATTTAATGTGAAAACTGGTGAAAAAGTAAGTTGTGTGGAAACACAGGACAATCATAACTCAGAGGGTCAGGAAAGCAACTGTTGCAAACCATCTGTCCAGAAGAATGCTGATTCATCTGTTTCAAACAAACAGCGCCAGGCTATCATCATTGCAGATTCCCCAAGTCCAGCAGTCAGTGTGATCACTATTAGCAGTGACACAGATGAAGAGGATGTGGCACAAAAGCATTCAGTGGCAGAGTACGTACTTCCTTTCGTCTGTTTTCCTAAGTGATATGCTGCAATTGTAAAGTCATTGCTGTGTTTCCAGTGGCATAACTTCCTAAATAATGTGGCATTGCTAAAATGCCTTTAAAGCAAGAATTCAAACAAAAACCTTGGTTCAATGTTTTTATTTTCTGTTTCATCCCACCTACCAGTTGAATCAGTTTTTCGTTGTATTATTTATGGCTGTTGTGTGCATAAGCAATAAGGGCTTGGTGTGTAATTAAAGGAAGTGGAGTGTAAGCAGAACTATTTGTAGGTACATATTTGCTGTATGTGTTGATTAACCAAGTACAAGCTGAAGAACCGTGTCCAAATGTTTTCATAAGATGCATGTCACTTACAGAATGGAACTTTCTTGGTGCCATCCCCTGTGCTCCTTGAAGATTACTTTTTGAGGGTTGAGGTCTTGCTGCTTGTGGTTTGATGCTGGAATGGGAAAATCACACAAATTTGGGGTTCTCCCTTGCATGCCAGAGAGTCTTTCCACTCACACAGGTGTCTTTTGGTACAGACCACTGAAAATTAGCCATTGGTTTTATTGTCCCTTGTCTGATGGAGTTATAATTGCAATTGGTTTAAATTTTTATCGTGGCATTCTAGTATGATTTTTGTATTTTATGATGTTTTCATTTTAATCTATTTGTATAATTTTCTTCTTGGCAATAGAATGTTTTGCCTTATATGTTGGAAACCGCCCTGAGTCCCTTTGGGGAGATAGGGTGGTATATAAATAAATTGTTGTTGTTATTATTATTATGTTAAGTGGTTGGATTCTATGCTAGCTTTGTGTTGGGGTACTAGTGGAAATATATTTCCATAGTTAAACAAGCAAGAGATCCATCACAGCCTAGTTAAGCATGCCTTTGTGTTAGAGCCAAATGTACTCTTAGTATTAAATTCATCCAGTTAATGCTTACTATTGATGTTTAGTAAGAATACATTGAATGAATGTTGGTGGTCACAACTTTTAAAATATCTATATCTCTCATTCTTTCTTCCAGATGTAAAGGTAACCTAGATTGTGAAGCCTGCCAGAGTACGCTAAATATTGACCGTGTGTGTTCCCTAAGCAGTCCTGACAGCACTTTGAGTACTAGCTCTTCTGGACAGTCCAGCCCATCTCCTTGTAAGAGACCTAACAGGTAATAAACATGAAGGAATTTAATTTTTAAAATCAGTACACTAATTTGCCTGTAACACAAAATTGGTAGTCCTGGCTTAATGTGCTATGAATGATATGCACCCATAGGAAACATTTTCTTAGTAACTTCTAACCTACAAGGAGGAATAAAATGATAGAGTTTAACATTTAATTACCTTCTTGTCAGATGTGGAGGATTTGAGCGTTTGTATTCCACTTGAATGAAGGGAGGAGTAAAGAATGAAGGAATGGGCTGCTTATGAGTATCCTGAATTTCAGCTTCCTATTCATAGAATCATAGAGTTGAAAGAGTCTGCGGGGGCTATCTGGTCCAACTATCATGCAGATGTGGCCCCTGTGCAGCCATGTACTATGAGATCCCTCTTAAAGGCGGTTTCCTGAAATCATTTCGAAATGGAGACTCCCCATTTCTTTGTGCGCCTGAACATTTTCGATATCACTTTGTATTTCTCTGACACTAGGCCTTTTGGGGTTTCAGTTAAGGCAGGCAGACTGTTGCGGGAGAAGCCTTAGAGAGCTGCGTGTGGCCTGCCAGGTTTAATCTCCAAAATACTGAGGTCTTGCCAGCTATGTCAGCTCAGCACCACTGTTTGGATAGATTGGTCATGCATAATCTATGATGATAAATATAGATGTACTTAAAGTATGTTGTCAAAACCAATCTTTTAAGGGCTACAAATAATCATGTCAGTGGTTCCTGAATACCAATGTAAACAAGTACCTGGAGTACTTTCTCTAGTTCTGGTCACCACATTTTAAGAAGGATACCATCAAGCTGGCATCTGTCCCAGGAGGGCAATCAAAATGGTAGATATTCTGGGAACCAAGGTTTTTGGGAAATGGCTATCATATTCCCTCTCAGGGAGTTTATGATCACCATTGTTGAATAACTGAGTTGTTGTGGGGTAGAAGGAATGTATGTATTTTATAGGTCTAGTATGTATTTTATAGATCTAGAAATAAAGTGTTGTTGTTGTTTTCTGCCTATGGATTTAAATTACAGGAAAGGAAATTCTTCCTGAACATTAGGAGGAACCTATGTGCCAGTGGAATAATCAGAATGAATAACCAGCAGTGGACTCTTTTGGAGATTTTTTAACAGAAATGGGTTGCTGCCTGCTAGGATTCTTCAGCTGTGATTTCCTTCACTGGCACAGGGGTTTTGGATAGTTGATCCTTGGGATCCCTTCCAACACTGTGAATCTAGTCTTCGAAGAGCTGTCAGAAACAACTAAAATGAGCACCTTTTCTTCAGTTGTGATGTTTGGATTTGTGATCAGTTAAAGATAACACTGTAAAATTACCTTGCTGTCCCGACAACGATTGCCATGGCAACTCAGCTACCCTAATTATAAAGATGGAACAGATTACAAGGCCTGAGCCCAATGTTCTTTAGTTAACATTCTTTTGCACGATTAAGATCTTCTCCATCACAAGATGTTGAGTTAAAAATCTGTGTGACTCCAACCACTGGCCATGGTTGGCTTCAAAGTTGGTGTCACTTTTTTGTATGTAAAAGCAGCCATTCCCTCCCTAGTAACAGTAACTTAGCCAGGGAGCCAATCGGCTTTGGCTACAAGATGACATCATTTACGATAAATTAAGTTAGTTGAGAGCAGTATTACAGTTGCTAGGAAGAAGGGCTATTTTGAACGGAGGCTGCAGCTGATCAGGCCTGTGAACTGGCTGGAAAGAGCTGACTGCTGGGAGAGCATCACACAGAGGGGACCTTATGGCAGCAGAGCCACAGGCTTCTCTTCTCCAGTTGAAGCCTCTTGACTGCATTAATGGCTTTCCTTCAGTCCATCTAAAATTAGCTAGCAGTTAATAGCCAAGTTTAATGATCTGCTGACTCCTGATTTACAGAAATCTAAAGCTGCTTGAAGTTACACAGAGTTAAACTTGTGTTTGGCATTGAATATGGTCTTGCAGGGAATAAAGCCTTGTGAGAGATTAGCATCTCTTGAGCAAATCTGTTGGGGAATTTGAAACTCATGTTGGAGATGTTCATATCATTTGTTCATACAGTGCCACTTGTCATCGTCCCCCAAAAGATGAAACATTTTTGTGTATATTGTTAGTTGTGCTGTAACTAACAGAACATAGAATTCACAGCAGTGCTTTTTTATTACTGTAGCATGTCAGATGATGAACAAGAAAGCGGCTGTGATACTGTGGATTGCTCTCCGAGTTCAGACTCTTCAGGTCATGACAGTCCATTCCTAGAAAATGGTTTTCCGGAAGACACCACTGAAAACCCAGAAACTAGAAGCTCAGCTAACCTGGAAGCCAAACCAGCAGTCCGCACTGTAGTTGTGCCACCAAGGAGGATACAGAATAGGTTAAATGCAGATGTGCAGATCACAAATGCAGGTAATTGAGATTTGTGAGAGTGTCCTGTGCTCCTTCTCTGCCTGATAGCCCTCCTCCTCAGCACAACTGTGTTGTGAAGGAAGATCCCACAAATCTTTAGAATGCTTTGTGAGGGATTGGAGGTAAGAAGTCTGCTATATCAGTGAGTCATTCAGTCTTTATGTAGAGCTCTTTATCTGTAGCATCTGTGCCAGACAATTTTGTGTGGTGCAGACTTTTCAAACTAATAATGAATAGGGATATATGGTTTCCCCCCTCCTCTCCAAACCCCCAAAATTCTATAATGTGGCTTTTGGGTAAAGCAAAAAAATCAGAAGCAGTTCTTTAGCAAACAACGGTTTGTTGACTTGTTTGTTTTCCTAGTTAACACCTGCCAGCCACTTGTAAAACGTAGACCTACCCGTGTAAAAATGAACCATCCTTCTGGCTTGGGTAACCGTCAGCGCAAGTTGGCATCAGCATTCCACCAGCAGCACTCAAACCTCAGTCAGGTATGTATGGAAATATCATTGTGCAAATATACATTTAATACTTCAAGTGTGATTTGGATCTTATTTTGAACCTGCCATACACACAGAATTCAAGTCAATTCAGCTGTCTATTTCATCTGGCTTAGTGATCCCTTTTGCAAGTAATGATTGTAATCAAAAATTATCCAAAGAAAAACCTTCAGGTTTGCTGAGGGAGGGACCATTATAGTGCACTAGGCGGGATTTCTTTTAGAAATTATATGCAGGTTCATACAGAATTTGACAAAGCAACTTCCTGATGTGGATAAACAATCAACTACATGATATAAATGCTTCTTTTTTGCCTTCACAACATAGCTTTTAAGTAGTTATGAGTACTTTTAGTAGTTTTGAACCTACATATCTAATGCCCTGCCACTGTAGCTTGTTGTAGGTATTGGAAATAGTCCAATAAAAGATGTCAATAGGTATTATCAAGGGTATTCTATGTTCAGTGGTATTCTATGAGGCTGATCTAAAGCTCCCAATGCTTGCAAAGCTTTGCAGCTTACACAAAAATGCATTATCTGCAGGTCAGACTGTGCATCTGTTTGAGACCTTGTTCATTGAACTGTGTAGGAATCATAGAATAATGGCATTCGGAGAGACCACAAAGACAATTCAGTTCAAACTCCTGCCATGCAGGGACACACAATCCAGCCTCTGTATAAAAACATCCAAAGAGGGAAACTGCACCACAACTTGAGGCAGCGTATTCCACTGTTGAACAACTCTGTCAGGAAGTTTTTAGGTAGAATCTCTTTTCCTGTAGTTTGAATCTGTTGCTTCATATCTTAGTCTCTGGAGCAGCAGAAAACAAGTTTGTGTGCAAGAGTATTGCACCTGCACAAATCGATCCATTTGGGTGGAACTTCCATGATTTGCAATCTTCTTGTAGTCATATTCACAAATACACCACAGTTTTCTGTAGATGATAATAAAAAAGAAATGTTTTCCATATATTCAGTATGCATGTAAGGGGAGAAGCTGGGTTTTATCAAGAAGAAAAGTAAGTGGATATTTTATTTTGAAATATGAACTATTTTGCTCATAGTTCTTGATACTCACACCCCTTCTGTCAGGATGGTTGTATCAGCCTGGAACTGGCTGCTTCGTTTCCCTGTCATAAAGAGGGGGAGGTTGGGGAAGGTTGGGAAGATGGATGTGGAATGTAGTATAGATAAGACTATCTGTTTTTTTAGGAATTCGAAACGGCAGTAGAACCACTGTAGGAACAGAGTTTGCCCAATAAAAGGAGATGGGAATTAAGGACTCATATATACGGGGTGTGTGAGCGGGAAACTTTAGAACTGTCTTCTTAAGATTTTGGAAAGACAGAATAAACCACTCGTTTCAGTGATCGATCATTATTCGCTTGCCTTTCATTCCAAGAGCTTCCAGAGTCTGTCACCTTCTTTTTTCCCCTTTGTTAGAATAAGTGAAATATGCGGAGAGACTAGAAGAAGATACATATTACTTCTTCTAGTCTCCACATAGCTCAATAGTGCTTTTAGCAGTATTAGAAGTTGGGGCCAGCCAATGAAATCGATTGTCAGTAGGTTCATAATAGACAGAAAAATGCTTTAGCACAAATGGTTTTTTCCCCCTCCTTTTGTTTGTGGGACTGAGATCTTGCCAGTGGCTGCCAGTAGATGACTGTCAGAAAACATCATGAAGAGGGGGATTTCAGGGGTGGCATTCAACTGTTGACCAGCCTTCTATCCACTCACACTATGTGCATTTTAACTGTCTGCTAAACTATTTATTAATGTAGATTTTCCATGGTTGGTAACAACTTTTTTCTTCATTTGTTTGTTTGCTGCTATTATGTTTTTAATTTATATTTTAAGTTCTGTTTTATATATGTATTCATTTAACCTGTGTAGATATCTTATTATGTCAAGTACTTTGTAAATACACCTATTTCCTTGGTGTTGCTGGTCCCTCTGCTGATCTTGATTCAGATCAAAACTATTTTGTGTAGTCATCATGTTAATATTTCACGTAACTAGTTCATCATTAGTGGTTAGGTTTCTACTTGCATAGGTAGGGCAGTCATGTAATGTCAGGTAAGCCATTGTCTTCAACTGTGTATTTGAAGCAATAGCAATTTAGTAGAACCAACCAGAGTTTGCACTCCTCTGTCATAGTGTTTGAGAGCCCAAAGTCACTTCCACAAAAGAGGAAGACATGGTGACCTGTTTAGGAATTGATTAGTAGTAGATGTGGATTTAAATAGAGCTAGGTAAAGCTAAACCCCACTAAAGAAATCCTGTCTAGAAAACCATGATAAGTTTGCTTTAGGGCCCAACCATAAGTCAAAAACAACTTGAAGGCCTTTGGCATTAACAAGATAGAGTCCGTGTAATTCAGTCTAGAAATGCCTTTTGGCTATGATAGCTAAAAGCAAGATGGTATGCCTCTGATGTTGGAGATCAAAAGTGTAACATGCCATATTTATCATCTTCTCAGAAGCATCCAACTGGTCGACCATGTTTGGAGCTAGAACCTCTTGATTTGGTCCATAAGGCAATTTTTGTGTTTTGATTTGGAGGGGAGACCCTGTACATGGCAGGAAGAAACTGCTTCCCCAAAATGTTTCAAGCATCATTGGTGGGGAGCCTGTCTGTATGTAGGAAGCTGTAATTGTATTTTCTCTCAATACAGGTTCAACACTTTGGAGGTGGGACTCAGGAGTGGAATGGAAACTGTGGTCACTGGAGGCAGCAGACATACATCCCAGCAAATGTTGCCAGCCATGCATTCACTATTCAACACGGAAGTCCCACTCACAGTTCGGTCCATGCACATTTGGCTGGAAGTACCCATCTTGGAGGACAGCCTGCTCTTCTACCTTATCCATCCTCTGCACCCTTGAGTACTGCTGCCCCGGTTGCCCACATTCTGGCCTCGCCATGTACCTCAAGACCGATATTACAGCATCCCACTTACAGTATCTCTCATCACGGTGGCCTAGTTCACCAGGTCCCGGTGGGCATAAACCCCCGACTGCTGCCTTCCCCCACCATTCATCAGACTCACTACAAACCAATTTTTCCACCACATTCTTACATTGCATCCCCTGCTTATACAGGATTTCCACTGAGCCCAACAAAACTCAGCCAGTATCCATTTCTGTGAGACTCATGTTAACAGCATGCTGATGAAACTCAGTGATGCATACATTTGGTTTGAGAGGAGAACATGGTATTTAATAAATATTAGCCATGGCACAAGAAAATTATTTTTTTTAATCATGTTAGACTTGGGTGCAATTTAAACAACCTTGAGCTTTAACTCACTTTTAATGTGTTTTTGCACATTTGGTATAAATTTGTCTTTAGTCATGTTATCTTCTTATAGAGTAACTCCAGACAGGTGACTTATGGGAGCAGAAATCCAGTTTTGCTCCTACTATTTTTTATAAAATTGCCTTCTAACTAGTGTGAGACACGTCTACATTTGGGAAGCCATTGAGTATACAGATTTAGAGCAACAGATGCACATGTGTCATCAGTATCATGTATGAGTAACTTGTTTGTATTATGTATCTTGATGTTCAGTGTCGAGTCACTTATCTAAAAAGATTGCGCTGTTTTTCACATTGCATGTGTCCTTTGCATGGGCAAAAATAAAGTTGCCTAGAAATTTGCTCTTAAATGTTGGTGTCCTAATAATCTCAGCTGCATTGTAAACAGTTCCCACACATAGTGCCTTAAATATTTGAAGTTGTTAATGTTACTATATTATAAATGTTGAGGACTGCAGCACTTAACATTCAGATTTGCTGATTATTTGGTAGAGTATTGCGTGCTCACTTACCTTTTTCTTTTCTTTTTTTAGTTTTGTGTGGTATGAGTTTAGTACTGAGTGTGATTTCTTTATCTAGAGGGCAGCATGTTTTGCTGTAGCTGAATTCTGCTGTCTGATATTTCCCCCCAGAATGATCAGCTTTGAGAAGACCATTTTGTAGTACTTAGGAAAAGTTTATTCAGTAGCTGTTGAATAAAAAACAATATTTTATACTATTCAGTGGAACTGCAATACAATCTAGGTAGTTTATTTTCAAAGTGTTTATGTCCAACTGGATTTAATAACCTGTTTAGAGGTGCAGTAGGCATGACTTGGCTAGATTATGAAAGAAAATAAAAGCAAAATGCTCATTGATTCATGCTGTGGTTTCATCTTAGCTTGAGCAAACCATGCAGTATTTAATAAATATTAGTGGAATATTTACTATTGATGCTTGAAAAGATGTGAGTACTTTGTGTGCAATTTTTCATTTATGCATGGGAGAGATTTTAGCCTTTTTACATTGTAGTATTTGTTCTAGCCTTTTGGAGATTTTCTGTTTCTTCTTATTTAATACATTCCGTCAGGGACAACAAATTACATGCATTTTTTTTTCTGTAGGAAGTGCATCTTTTCTGTGTTTTTGTTCTTGTTCAAATGAAATTGCTTTTGCAGCACCAAAGACTTAATCATCCATTTCCTATAAAAGGTAGCTACTTTTTTCATAGACCTCAAGTATACTGTAGTGCTAGGATGGGTTTCAAGAAAGGTATTAAAGTGAGGCTGTGATCTAGCTTATGAGGCAAATAATAAATTGTATCATTTATCTTGAATGTATCATAGATAAGCTGCTATATAATGATTGCCACTTCAGATAGCTGTGAAATTAAGTGGTTTAACTAGTTCTTAGCCTTCTAATTTCTGTACAAGTCTAATTACATGAAATGAAAATAGAGGGGTTGATTTTTGTTTTGTTTGCTTTCATGTTTGGAGTGTTGTAACTACTATACTGTAAATGATGAAAGATAATTGCATATGTTAATTTGGGGTGTGTTATTTGCATCAGTATTTTATCTCCATTACCTATCATTGCATATAATGTGGATGTATCCTTGTAATTTAATTTTTATGTATGCGTAGCCACATTGTGCAAACACTTACAACTACTAAACTTTTTTATGTTTCTGGAATACAGTTTTTGCAACATAGACTGGAATAGGAGTGCAAAGGGTTTCTTTCAGGCCCAATCCTAAACCTGCTTCCTTCAAAGTAAACTCCACCTAGATCAGTGGGGCTTACTTCTACGGACGGAGTGCAAAGGGTTGTAGCCTTTTCAGGCTAATAGCTGATTGAATTTTTCTTTGCTCCATTAACACAAGCAGTGTTTTATTTAATGAATGTCTGAGTGAAATAAACGTGCCTATATTTGATTTACTTATAATAACTTAATTACAACAGTATTACTGTATAAACCCCAGACCATTTTAAGGCAGAACATGGAAATAAACCTTTCCAACAGCTCTTGGGCCACAGTCAGAGAGCCAGAGCTCTTCATGGCTAATGAGACATTGCTTGCTTGCTTTCTGTCTTCCTTCCTTCCTTCCTTCCTTCCTTCCTTCCTTCCTTCCTTCCTTCCTTCCTTTTATTTCTTTTGTCTCCCCCAACATATATAGCAAATCACTTAAGCTTGGGAAGCTTAAGACTAGTTTGTGTTATGACATGGGAGAGCTGCTATTCAAATGAGAAGAGTAGAAAGTACTACTGGATGCACATAACAGCCTTGGGCATAATGGAATGCTCTGGACTTCAGCTTCAGTCATTTCTCATAAATTATTTTATGCATTTTGTATAAGTACAAATGTGTGCATGTATCTCTTAGAAACTCGAGTAACCTGGTTAAATTGTTTCAGCATATTCTGAAGCTTAGGCAGAGGAAATTGAACTAATCAAGTAGATTTGTCATGCTCCTTGACATTTGTGATTTCAGCAAATCCCTGTTTTTTGATAACTTTTTGGTGTTGAGAATGAAATTTCTTGGTGCTGCCTCCATTGCTGGCATTGGACTCACTAGGAACTAGGAACACATCAGAAGTTATGTTACTTTTCTATAAGAATAACAAAACAAAACAAAGATTGTCTTCATTACTTGGATCTTTCTTTCTCTAAAATATTTACTGTGCTTTTAAACTGTGTTTAGGAAATAAAGCTAATGTATTTTGGCACATAGTGCCAGGTTAAACATGAGACCTCTTTTATCTGTATACTCCAAATGAAGCCTGTGACACCTAACATATTGTAAAACAGTAAGTAGGTTTTTTTTTCTTTTGAGAAACTATAAATGAGATCTGGCACCACCAAGACTGAGCATAAAGTGCTACTCTGCAGCCAATTCTGTAATGAGAGTTGAAGTGAAAGTTCAGATCTTTTTCTGTCTCTGAGGCTATAGTCCACAGTTTCACTTTGAAACCTTTGCTCTGTGAAATACTTTGGTTTCGTGGCTGTGGCTTTGGAGGACCAAGGCTCTGTCTGCAGAGAATGAGACTAGGCAAAAGTCTAAATCTGCACTCAAAATAATACCAGACAAATACACCTGTATATCTCATTGTTCTAATGCCTTTTAAATAAAACACTGCACGATATCAAAATTGCATATGGTTTTTAATTTGGAGATCGGTTTTTATATTCCTTGTATTCTGTTTTTAACTTTAATTCAGGGTGTGTTATTGATCAATTATACTACTGTATTAACTAATTATTTTGTTTTTAATTTTTAAATATTCTGTATTTACTGCTAATTTTAACTTGGTTTGTGTTAAGTAAGAGCGAAAATCACACTGCAAGCTATAGAAAGATTTGTTTAGTACTAATGATAGAGATTTGGTTATTAAGTTTGAACTGTTACAGTTTTAACAATTATTTGTAGACTTGTGGCTTTTTTGTTCTTGATTTCTGTGCTACACTAGTTTGCCATGTAGCAATTGCACTGTGCAATATTACAATAAGAGGACTGGGAAAATTTTTATGGATGTAATGTTTCCTACAGTTTGCGATAGTATTTCTCTCTAGTTCTCAGTGATTTAAATGTGACCAAGCCTTCTGTACTTTGTCACAAAAAGCGGGTTTTCCAGGTGACTATTTTGGTGAGTGTCAAAATAAGAATTTATGGTGTATTACTGTCAAGATTCACTTTGAATTAAAATATATATTGCAGCAAATTGAATTTGTTGACTTTTTATTTTTTATTGAAATAGATGAAAGCTAAACATCTAGCTGTTACCATTGAATTCTAACACATACGAGTTGTGTTTAAAGGTTTAGCGAGGAAGATTCAGGCCACCAGTCTTAATCATTACATGGTATGATTCCAGCATGAATAATTAGGCTTTAATAACAGTGTAATGCTCCAGAGCCTCTGGAGTCTCTATTCTTTAGATTAGTGGTTCCCAACTTGTGGGTCCCCAGATATTTGGGCCTTCAACTCCCAGAAATCTTAACAGCTGGTAAACTGGCTGGGATTTTTGGGAGTTGTAGGCCAAAACACCTGGGAACCCACAGGTTGAGAACCACTGCTTTGGCTAGTCTGTAGAAATGTAGCATTCTGAGCATAAGTACGTCACTGAAAATGTAATGTGAACATCCTTTGTCTTAAGGATGAATTGTATCCATTCAGGGAGAAAGAGTGCAAAAGGTATATGTATCCGAGAAAAGCAAAAACTATAAAACGTTGATACTCTGGGAGAAGGCAGCCTACGCTTGCAGTTCATTTGCATAGGATTATTATGTTAAAATCCATTATTAAGGCAACAACAAAAAAACTAAAATAAGATCAGGCTACCATATGTCGGCTTAAGTTTTACAAGGCCGAGAAATCGGAATTTAAAGCCCTGTGATTCGTAATCTTGTTTACAATTTGCTTTCCATGTAGCCACATTTTTCCTTTCTCATTCAAAAATTAGTTGGGAAACATGAAGTGTCTAGGATCTGCAAATATTCACTACATTCACCTTTTAAAAAAATGCAGTATCTGAATTCAATACCCTCTTGAAAGTGGAGGAAATGTGACTAACCCTTTATTAACCTGAGCTACCACTTATTTAGAAATACAAAGGTATGTCAGATGTTGATCTTGGAATCATGCCAGAAGACCTGGAGATTCCTAGATAAGTGTTTTCTCTAGGAATGTCTAGGTCCTCAAGGCAAACTGGAGGAGCTAGAGAATCCTAGAGAGAAGTTATTAATCAAATCTGCAAACATCAAACCCACAAATATGGAGGGCTAACTGTGAGATGACCCATGTTTTTTATTGCTTTACGTCACTAGATGGCAGGATGGATTAAACTGATTTCCCCAAACAGGTGCACTCTAATGTTCTACAATTCCCATTAACGTTTGCTATGTCAGAGTGCTGCAGAAGCTTTTGAAGCTCTGAAGAAATGGACGTGTGACACTTCAGTAGAAAACAGATATTTAGCTTTACTATGGCGCTCGAATATACAGCATACACCATCAGTAGACAGACAGGAACAAGAACGAATGACTAACGCACTCACTGAAGCTATAAGAACTTATCTCTGTGTCCTCCCTACTCGCTACATTGCTAGCATGACCAATGGTTGGAGGGGATGAGAGCTATTATTTGAACTCCGGAGGGTGCATATTTGAGGGTGGCAGGGTATTAAAACAGTGGGAAGGGACATGCTTCCAGGATCTTTCCATTTTTATGTTGGTTCTGTGGAGTGACCAGCAGTGCGGTAACATTGACTGGCATGAGCATTTGTTCAAATAGATTTGAAATGTGAACACAATGAGAAAAATATCACATTGAGATTTTCACTGCGAGACATCTGCAGTTGCTTTCCAACTCAAGATGTTTTGACGGAATAAAATAATTGTTCTTTGTAATCTCTGTGCCTCACACAGTTGCTCTCTTGCACTTGTGTAGAGATTCAATCATAATGAGAAACCTGGCAGGAAACCCACCCGTCTCATCTAATACACATCTAATGCACTACTCCCCTCAGTTTCAAAATCTGCCAGAGGGCAAAATGGGAGCCTAAACCAGAAGGAAAGCAACATGGGCTGTACGAGGGTGCCTCCCTAGCTGAAACAACTTAGACCAATAATTATTTCAAGTTTGAGAAGAAGAAAAAAATTATTGGCAGTTTAAATGAAACCAGTATATTGACAAAACGAATCGGGGACCGAGGGTATCCCTGACGAGGTTATGTTTCGGGGTCTGCTCATGATGTCTCCATTACCATGTTCTGAACTTCTAAAAAAAACCCTGCAGTCCAACAATCACAAATGATTTTATCTTCAATCACATGATTAATAAGGTTTGCAGGGTTTTATTAAAACACATTGGTTTGTGGTTTGGGATTTCCTTTAAGAATTAGAAACATTAAGGAAATTTTGGTGTGGAGCAGTTTCAAAGAACAGAAACACACATCTAAAAACATATAACCAGATTTACAGCACATCATTCCTGTGGATTTATGGTCTACTTCAGGTACACTTCCAACAGTGGTACTATTTACACTACTTCACACTTAATTTTCATTTATGATTTATTATTTAGCGCAGGGGTTCTCTAAGGCCCGTGGGCCAGATGCGGCCCTTCAAGGTCATTTACTTGGTCCCTGGTCTAAACTTTAGACTTAGGGTCACCCTAAGTCTGAAACAACTTCACGTCACACAGCAACAACAACAACAACAATCTGAATTGACTATCTGATCAGCCAAAAGCAGGCCCACCATTCCTATTGAAATACTGGTAAGTTTATGTTGATTAAAATAGTTCATCATTTTAAATACTGTATTGTTATTTCATATTTTTTTTTGCAGTACAAATAATATATCTGCAGTGTGCATAGGAATTTGTCCATGTTTTTCTCAAAATATAATCTGGACCCCCAACAGTCTGAGGAACAGTGCGCTGGCCCTCTGCTTTAAAAGTTTGAAAACCCCTGATTTAGTGATTGGATAGAATATGCCACTTTTCTGGGATTCAAGGTATTCTGGGATTAAAAGAAGATAAAACAAAGTTTTATTTTACAAAAATTACAAAAGAAGTAGTTAATATTAGCTGTTCTTATTCTGGACTAAAGAATGTATAAGAACTTATTCTGTTCTTATTCTGGACTGGTAAATTAATTAATTTACCTTTCTGTTGACACACTCTTCAGCCACTAATCCAATGGGTCTACGCTAGTTGGAACTAACAGAATTCTGTCCAATATTATTTAAACTGGTTCTAAAATGTAAAATACACTTAAAAGATAATTACTAATAACATATTTTAAAATATAAAATATAGCTTAATACTTCACACTATTGCTATATAATTTAAATAAAGACTTGTCTGGATGAAAAGGACTTCACTTGTTGGGAAAAACATAGGAAGGTGGCCAGATGGAGTTCTCATAGAAGGTTGTTCTACAGCTTGTGGAGAAGGCTTTCCCATTTCTGCACCAATTAAGCCTGTGAAGATGGTGGGACCGAGACAAATCTCGCTGCAGATTTTAAAGTTCATGCTGGCCTGTATAGTTTTCTTATCTACATCATCAATGAAAGTGCCTAAAGATTTATTTGAGAAAAACAAACAGACCTCTCAAGAAATACATAACATACAAACAAAACAGATACTCCTTATGTGAGTCATTTATCAGAAAACCAATATCTTGAAACAGACCTTGGATTTTGTTCTATAGAGAAGGTGAATGTTATTTATAAGAGGATTCTGTTTGGGGAAAAAGTAGAGTAGATCTTTTGTTATTTTTGTTTTCTGGGTCGTAAATGGGGGTCTTGACCATCTCCCACTCTTGTATGTTTCTGCCAATATTTTTATATCATATTATTATGATCCCCTTTCCTTCATCCTAGTTACTCCAAAATGTTTTTGAAAGTTACCTAACAATGTCTCTCTTCATTCACATTTTTTTTGGTCCAATAAATAGTACAAGAGTTTTAGCTCCAAAAACCCTTGCAGTGATAGTCTGCATATGTACAGATTATAGGCAGGTCCAAATGTTATGTTATACAGTGTAATCAATGGCACGTCAGAGACCACCCCCGCTAGCTCTGGCAGGGGGACTGCTGTGCAGCGGGGTGGATGGTACACCAGCAGAATCCCCAAGCTGTTCCGGTTACACACTCTCAGGTGAACATTCTTGAACCCAGAGCACTGCCCACTCAACTTACTTATACACACTTGCTAAGTCTTACCTGTCACTAGGGCAAGGGCAATGCTCCCAGCAATTGAATCAAAAATTAAGCACCAGCTGCCGCTCTGGGACGAGATTGAAGAGGGGAAGGCAGGAAAACAGTTCCACCTTGTCTCCTGTGCCATCAGTTGGGGTACTATATAATACTAATATTGTTCTATGCTAATAATATAATATATTGTATATACATATAATATTGATAATAATATAATGTAATATATTATAATACTACTAATAATACAATATAATAATATTAATTATATATTATATATTAAATATAATATTACTAATAATATTGCAATATAGTGGTATAGTACAATATAGTAATATACTGTATAATGCTAATATTGTGCTATGCTAACAATATATTGTATGTACATATAACTTGTAAGCTGCTCTGAGTCGGGCTGAGAGAGGACAGGGTATAAATGTAGTAAATAAATAAATTAACATGGCCCTAGCATGTACATTCCTATAAATTAGAACTGTGTTTGATATCTTTCCGGTAGCTACATTAGCAGAAAACAGTGTAGCTTTTGGATCAGGCATGCTTATCAGCAAAGCATATTCTGACCACTCAATTCAGATTTTCACACTAAATCATAATCCGAAATCAATCTGTCCCTGGAAAAAATAACTAATTCAACATTAAATTTATCAAATAATAGAGTGGAATGCCCTTTGAATACCACCAGAGGGCTCTGTACTAACAGTCTATGTAGATTGCGATGGTAGAAACAATTTGTTCTTGTGGTTGTTTCTACAACTCCCTCCATTGGAGTTTCTTCATCATGTGGTAAGAAAATGGCAGGGCGGGGGGGGGGGGGGAAGCTTAAGTAAATTTGCAGTGTCAATTGTCCAAATTCAGGTTGGATTTTTATTTCATGTAGGCTATTATATTTTACATTGTGTTATCTCTGTACTAAGTTCAGAAACTTCTATTAGTTCAAAACACAGCGGCCAGACTGGTTACAGGAACACCTAGGAGTCAG